TCCTTTCAATATCGTGTAGTTACAATGAGAAAATAAAAAAAAAACTTCTTTACTCACGGTAGAAAAATCGATCGATGAAATTTTATTGCATAATTCTATTATATGTGTTCATTAATGAAAATAACTCCCAGATACGTAGGAAAATTTCATGTAAGATCATAGCGACTGGCGTAATCAGGTATCCATTCAATGACTCTTTACGTAATTCATTGATCGTGAGTCATTCATCAAGCGATGTATTTAAAACAAATCTGTTCAGATAGAATTTATGACATAGCAGAAAGATACTAAGTGTTTTATTGAAAATAAAAGATCGGTTCGTCGATCGACGGATTCTACGTGGGTATAACTTTGACTATAGATTTGACTGCTCAAAAGTTGGAATCCTCTTCTGAACTACGATAATATTTAAACCGAAAACTCAACAACAACAAGAAATTCAACAAAATAAGAATATAATGGTAGATACAAACAACTTTGTGATTATGTTACATGAAGTGCCTGTAAGAGCGAATAGGGTCTGGATGTGAGTGTGAACGTCGGTGATGTGAGCGTGAGTGGATGTTGGTGAGGCATTAGTATGGATGTTAATCTGCTCTTCACATTCAAATACTCATCCACATTCACCCACACCTTGATTGACTTTTTATACTATGATGTTTATGAAAATTATTATCTTCAGTGAGAGTCAGAACTTGATACAAAATAAGACTAAACCATATTCTAATAAAATACTTTATTCGTCATTTATGTTATACATAAATTCTTCTATCATAGTTCTGCCATACAAGATAAGACAAAATCTAATAACATCTGATATAAAAATAAATAGCGTGAAGACAGTTTAACATGAGCATCATATAGAAAATGATCAATCATTTTATATCATGAATATTCATGAAAATTAGTCAGATTTATGCTCAAATACATAAAAATTTGTCACTAATAAAGAAATTCTTACAGAAAAAAACCTTGAACAAATATTGAAACTAATGAAGAGATCGTACGATTTCTAATTTTAGAAGCTTATCCTTTAAATATAAGTGTAATAAATCAAGTTAAGATATTTAATAAAATTTAATATATTTAATTATTAAGTTTTGTTTAACATACAATTCAATTAGTTAATCGACTTGATGTTAATATTGATCTTTCACCATTATATCATGCTGCTCATATTGAACAATGGCGTATTTTATTTAAAATCTATTCTGATAGATGCAGTGTGAACATGAAAGATGAATAGAATCAAACATCAAGTCATTTTGGTTTGCTAGATCCATGGATCAGGTCAAAAGTAGTGATCTGCTAATAGCTTCGACTTACCTAGGATAAACTCTTGCTAATATACAGTAACATAGGTTGATAGTAGAGTTGAAATAACTACAACATTTTCACGAATAGTTTTGACCTAGTAGTGAAGTATGCTGAAATGCAGAATTCTCCTTTTTTTTCTTCTTCTTAGTAAACAACAATAATTATCAACATTAAAAAGATCTCATTGAACTACGTATATTGAAGAGAAAGCAAATCTACAACATTCAGAACTATATTAGTATGACTATTATTTATCTAATGTAAGACGGAATGAGTTCTAATCTACATAATTACTATATAGATAATATTAAAAAAAACAAAACCAAGTGAAACAAAGAATCTCTTTTGTCTAAGTGAAATCATGTCTATCATTTTTCAATGTATCAAGCATTCGAATCAAATGCAAAAGAAATAGATGAAGATATTCTCATATGAATAGAAGCATGAAGCGATGCATTCATCGACAGTAGTTAATCCGCTCGACCTCATATTCATATCCACTATCAGTATTACTGATTCCGATACAATTCTTAAAAAAAGAAATCTGCTTTTGATTCAGCTTCAGTTTCAAATTACAAAAATATTGGAATAAACAATCTTTTCATGAAAGGCAAATTTATCTCGTTGTTCTACTAATTGAAAAGACGAATGTTTCAAAATTTTTTTATCAACGAATACATATAAGATGCTCGAAAAGTCATTCATCAGAAAGAAATCTTCATATTTGTATGATGATATTATCGGATAAACTAATTTGTCAATTCACAGCACAATAATCTTTCAAGTTTTTATTCCTAATTACAAAACTGTCAAAGAGTCATGTAGAGTAGTATTATTAAAGTTCTTTACTTCAGATTGTAAAAAGGAGTATGTGAGATTTTCTTCTGCTCCTTGAATTTCATCTGATTAGAATGAGCATCAAATAATTCATGCTCATTTCTTCTTGTAAATATTAATTCAACACGTTTGAAAAACCAAATATAAGTGATATATTTTCTTCAAACAATTGGTTTTTTCTTTATAAAAAGCTTTCATGGAGAGAAAAGAATGTTAAAAGATTAGAATATGAATCTACATGGACACTAGCCTTGAAATCAATGCTTCTTGCCTCTTAAAAATATGTGACATATGCTCATAAAACAAGAAAGTAGGCATGGATCACTAGAAGATCAAAGTCATCAAATAAATTTTACAAAATCAAGAAAAACCCCATTAGTACTATTTATTCGATTATTTGCTTCTTTTTAGTAGTATTTGGGAATTCCATATTTATTAACAAAAACTTGAAAGTGCTCTCCATTATGAATAGAAACATTATTCATCCAATCGAATCATAATAGAAACATATAATTGGCATTGGTATCAATGAATTTTTGAACAGATTGATTTGAAATTGGTGATTCCTTGCCGATTTCGATACGGTTTCAATTTCAAAAGAGGTTGATTTTACTCATGCCTAGTGTGGGAATATCATTGTCGATGCTGGTGTATTAATAGAGAGCTTCTGCAATCATCCTAACCCACGCCCCAGTCACACCCAATTACATCTACAAATAACCTTAATGCAAAACAATAAGTCACATTTTGATCCACTTTATTGTAACACCTGAATAGTGGTGGGAAGTTACCGTTCCGAGACCGTTACCGTTACAGGGTAACGGTCCGGGAACAGGGTTCAGAGGGTACCCTAAGGCCCAGAATGGACTTGCTCTCTAAGAATAAGGAAAACACTTGGGGTTAAGGGTCAAAACAACATCCATTGATATTTGAGGAGGCCTTTTCTCCCTTATTGTAAGGACAACACATACTCATGCTCGGGCCGATCCTGGGGTTATCGAGGATGCTCTATCGATTGATGGGTATATGTATGGTTCCCCATCAATCCCCACACCTGAATATCGACACCCTCAAAAATCATCTGGGGTCAAAGGTCAAAAAAACATCCATTGATATTTAAGGAGGCCTTTTCTCCCTTATTGTAAGAGTGCCCCGCAATACTAGGCCTTGAGTACCGAAGATAGCATTTACATTATGCCCGTTACCCTGTTTCCCGGAAATGGTAACGGTAACTTCCCACCCCTACCCAAGGGTACCTCTGTAGTATGGGACTTGAGGACCTAAGGGTACCCCCTAATAACAGGATTTGAGGACCCAAGGGCACCCCCTTATAATAGGCCCGTTTTCCGGGAACTGGTAACGGATCCGTTACCGTTACCCAGGTAACTGGTAACGGTAACTTTCCACCCCTACACCCCACTCCCCACTCCCATACCCACATCCACACCCACACCCTTGTGAACCACATATCTTCTTAAAGACACGCTCTCTGAATCTGATTTTTTTTCCCGAAACTATACCTCATCAATCTCCACAAGATGAAATATCTTTCGGCCGATTTGAATACCTTATGTATTTTCGTGGGAGAAATTCTATAGATTAGACCCCTGGGAATAAAAAAGATTGTTAGCGCAGCTCCTTTGGAGCTAAAATGTGGAACTCACGTATATCCTTCAATCTTGGTATCTTAATACGTCACCTGCAAAACTGAAAACTTTCTTGTCGACTATAGGTTTTTTTGTAAATAATTGCTGACAAGAAAAATAATTGATCATTTAATTTCTGCATTTAAAATTGAAAGTCTCTTTTTCGTTTAAGTGCGCTCGATCTTTTTTTTATTATTGTTGCTGTACACCCAATAATAATCAATTTTTTTTATTTGAAATTACTTTTTTTTTCATCATCGATTATTTCATCAATATGACTATTAGAATAATGCAGTTTATATCTGTAAGCCACTTTCATCACACTATTATATATCTCAATTAATTCATAAATGGTGATATTGTATACGCCTGACACTGACACAAAGGTCGGATGATGTTTGTCACATCGATTATACCATCGGTATGACAGATCAATGCCTATTATTACTCTTTATTGTTGATTTGTTACGTGCACATTTTAATTTTAAAAAATAATTAGTGATTACATTATTGGGAACTTTAACAAATTTATATTAGTTTTTTTTCCAATATTTATGAAAATATTGAAATATGATATGACAGTCAAACTCATATTCTTCATATTGTTCAACTCTCTTTTTATTGCTAAATACAGTTGAAGTTTTTTATACCCAGTTGCTGAGTTCTGTAATGAGGGATGTCTGTAATGGTGGGGCGTCTGTAATGGGGGGTATGCCTGTAATGTTCTCTTTCCCGTTACTATGTGTCTGTAATGGGGAGGGGGGGAGCCGCAAAACCTCGAAATGAAAACTTACACTCACTATTTTCTTCGAAAATATATGTGAGTTCCACAAAAGTGTATTGAAAAAACGTTCAATTACTACTTATGACGTGTTTTTAATCTGCATGAACTTGACCTGGCTCCTTTTCAACGGATTAATAAAACAATAGAATTTCATATTTTTTGCCAAAAATAAGCACATTGAGAACAGAATGATGTTAGCAGTATATTTAGTACAAACTATAGATCGGTAGAACTTCCAAGAATCTTTGTGCAACATCTTTTGTACTATATTTTGCTCTTAAAATATGATTAATTGAACGTGAATTATCAATTTTCTGGTGACTCTAAAGTGAACTAAACATTTTCCAAAACTTCTCTAGGATTCAAAAAGAAAATATATCAATGCTTGATGCTTAAAAAGTTTGACTACAATATATTTAACAATATGGTTCGTATGGTGGTTTTGCAGGATCCGGTGGATAGGCTGGGCATGAACATTTACAAAATTTCGGTCGTCCATATTGATTTAATGAACATTGTACATCACAAGCAGAACATAAATAGACATACCATGTGCCAGCATAATTCTCACATTTATTTGTTAGTTTAGAGCAACCACCTGGTTGAGTCCACTCACCATTGACATCATAATCTACAAGAACACACATTATATACCAGAGACCGAAACAAATTAGAAAATCTCGATTCGGATTCAATTTGATTCGACTCGATTCGATTCGTCTGAGGAAAGTCGAATCAAATAAGTGAGTAATTCGATTCGGTTTCAGTCTCTGTTGTATACAAAGAGTGTCTCAGAAATTCTGTTATGATTTTCAAATTCATCGTTCTTGCGTTCAATAACATATAAAGTCTTTGAAACTTTACCAGATTATTGGATATGCTTAATATTGCATAACTATAAAGTTATTAGATCTCAAACTTTATAGTTATGCAATATTAAGCATATCCAATAATCTGGCAAAGTTTCAAAGTCTTTACATGTTATCGAACGCGAGAACGATGAATTTGAAAATCATAACAGAACTTCTGAGATACTCTTTATTATATTTTTTAATTGAAAAAAAGGAACTTACTTATAAATCCTGTTCGTACACTATTATTTCTTGCACCATATTGTCTTCGAGCCACAATACGAAAGCTACCTGTTTGATTATTTCGTTCATAACATACAGGTACTTGATTTGAACTAATAATAATACGATTTTCATTGTCTGAAGTCAATTCTAAAGCACAAGCACTCATCATTGTTCCTGTATTACATGTATCTGCAAGCTGAGTATTTGTTAATCCTGTAGAACATATAGTTCCATTTTGTAATGTTATATCATTTCCAGTTGTCCATCTATAACCAGATGATTGAACAATGACTTTCGCCGCAAATGTCATTTGTTTTCTTTCTTCTTGAATTTGATATGCTTGTGTCTCTCGAATAGTATTTATTGCATTCATACGTCGTTCTACTGCTTGTTTTAGATTTCTTTTTATTGTCATATTTGATATGAAATCATACCACGGTAAATATTTTTTCACAGTTAATAAGGCTGGATTGTAAACAATTGTTTTCTTCCATTCATCAGTGTTATTTATCAAGAGGATATTACCACCAATTCGATGATCTAATAACTTTTTACGTCTATCGTAGTAAAATCTGTCAATACATGGAGTTGTTTTTAATAGATCTTGTTTGAGATTGTCTTCAAATACGGATTGAGAAAGTCCATCAGTGATCTCATTTGTACTTAATAGACAACTTTTGAAGAGTATTTGTTGTTCTGTCATGCCACCGACTATAGTTGATACAGTAATATGTGTTCCCCAAACATCCATGAAATTTTGATATAGTTCTTCATTGTATTCAACTGTTAAAGCATTGATTGCCTTTTGAGCGTATTTATTTAATTTCAAAGACTGATTGTCATTTTTTATATTTATCTTATACACTATTTTCAAATCTTGAATTACAGCCATTGCTTGATTATCTTTGAAATAATTATTATAAACATCTGTAATGTTTTGAACATGTGCTAGTTCACCACCAGTCCATCCACCAGCTTCAGCATTCTTGAGCCAAACATCAACCAATTCAGTTTCTGCACGAAATACACGAACTTTTATTGAGTTATCATTTCCTGATGATTTTGTTAATGTTATTTCTCGAGGAACAAGAAATGTTTGTTTTGATTCAGAGTCGATCCATTGTTGGTCGCCTGGGGATAGTTGTAAGGCTGGTAATAGAAGATTTCCCGTGCTGAGATCAATAGCCATACCTACACTAGTTGGTAGATGTAATGTTGTTGATAGTTTCTTTGATCTAATGTTGTCAACTGTTATATTTTTGCCATCACCAGGACAAAACATTCCATGAAAGCCCACAATTGGGCAGAGAGCTGCGCGTGCACTTATCAAACTGAATGGATCATCGACCGATTCCGTTTGATTTAATGATCGTTTTGTTTTATGTAAGTCAGACGCTTCAGCGAACTGACGTTTGAAACAATGAGTGTTGACCACTATTGCTATAAGAAAAAACAATGTCCATTGTTGGTTTAACATTCTAAAAAAGAAATTAATTATCTTCACTATGAAACATAATCTGATCAATTGTTTTCATCCTACGAATTGATACTAAAATATTATTTCCTTTCAATGTGATGAACAAGCCACATACGCATAACCTTACTTGAGCTTTACTATTTAATTTATCTTATAATCCTCATCATATTATTGACAATTAAGTTTTTTACTATTCTAATACCTATAAATCTAACTATCATGTTACATTCAGACGCATATGAAATATGATACACACTTGCACATATTATGTTCAAGATATTGAGTTTTCACTATCAAGCATCCTGCACGTATGCGCATTGACTGGCATGCAACAATTCGATTTCTGTTTTTACATGCAATGGTGCAATAAAACGTTTAACTATATACAGCTTGTTTTGTGCACCAGTTCTTTC